GGGAAGTGGTTCCCTAGTCCTTTTCTGGCTAACCCATCTTAAACTACGGTCATAGCAAGGGCCCTCAGCAGTATTTTGCCTAATAACTTCATTTGTTAGTGGTGGGAAAAAACAGAGATGGGAGTGATTTACCCCAAAGTTACGGAATTAGGAGTTGCAGGGCCAGGGTCAGCACCTCACCTCCTGGTCTCTGGGTGAGTCTTGTGTACAGGACTCACCTGTCCGACTCAAGCCTCCCAAGAATTATTCTTCCATGTTTTATTTTTGTGTATTAGTCTTTTGCTTGTATGTGTGTGTGTGTGTGCCCCATGTATGTGCTAAGTACCTGCAGAAGGCATCAGATCCCCTGAACTGGAGCTACTGATGGTAATTGCCTTGTGGGTGCTGGAAACTGAACCCAGGTCCTCTGGAAGAGTAGTTCATAACCATGGGGGAGTCATCTCTCTAGCCCCATCATTCTTAATTATACTTTCTGTCTATCTAGGACTAGATCAATCCTATCCAACAGATCTTCTGCTATGATGGAATGGCTTGGAAATGTGTTGATTAATATGGTAACTTTAAACTCCATGTAGCCACTGATCACTTGAAATATGTTTAGTGCAAAGCTACTTAATTTTTAATAACTTTCTCTTTTTAAGATAGAATCTCATACAGCCTAGGATGGCCTTTATCTCACTATGTAGCCAAGGCTGGCCTTCTTAGTGCTAGGCTTAGAAGTATGTACCACCTCCTATGACTTTACATTTATAGAGCTACATGTGGATCATAATTACTGTACTGGACAGGGAAACTCCAAAGATCAGAAGTCATTCTGATTCTACAATCCCAATGAGTATATGTTGTATGAGTAGATAACTCTTAAAATTAATTTATTGACTTTTATTTTATATGTACAAGCATTTTATCTGTACCATGCATGCAGTGCATGCAGAGGTCAAAAGAGAACATTGGATCCTTACAACAGGATTACAGGTTATTGTTAGCAGTCATTCGTGTGCTGGAAACGGACCTCAGGTCTTCTGCAAAAGCAATCAGCATTGTCAACTGCTGTGCCATCTCTTCAAATCCTATTTTTCTTGCTTGTATGTGCATGTTTACGTGTGCATGTAGGTGTATGCACATGAGTGTGAGGTCAGAGGTCAATTAGTGGTGTAACTCCTCTGGAGATATCCATCTGTTTTGTTTCGTTTTGTTTGTTTTTGGACAGAGTCTTTGTAGTGGTTTGAAAGAAAATGCCCCCCAAGAGGAGTGACACTATTAGGAGGTGTGGCTTTGCTAAAGTAGGTGTGGCCTTGTTGGAGAAAGTGTGTCACCATGGAGGCGGGCTCTCAGGTCTCATATATGGTCTAGCCACGTAAGGTTCCTATTGCCTGCGAGTCAAGATGTAAGAACTCTCAGTTGCCCCTCCAGCATCATATCTGCCTGTATGTTGCCCTGTCTCTCCATGACAATAATGGACTAAACCCATTGTGATCTGGGCAGCCTTCTTTTGGGACACTTGCAGCCATGCCTTCCCACTAAGCAAAGGGAGAGGTTTTTCCACTGAACTCCCACATTCCAATACCTGACTCAGGCTGAACAAAAGGTAAACAAAAAGGTAAACAGATGAGAAACAGGAAGAAGATGAGAGAGAGGCAATGCCATTTCAATAACAATACCAACAAAGTCCAGTCCCTAGAACTCACGAGATGGAAGGAGAGAACCAATTCTCAAAGTTGTCCTCTGACCTCCACATTTGTGTGGTGATAGGCATGCAAGCTCTGCCCTGCACGTTCCCCAAAATAAAAGAAAATATTTGAAAAGCTGCCCTTAGCTTTTCACACCCACGTCATAGCATGTGCACACCTGTGTCCATACACCACTCATAAAAACACCACACACACACATACATTAATAATGATAAAGCACAATGTTTATAAAAGAATGGAGTTGGAGGGCTCAAAGCTCCAATTCCAAAGCTTGCTGCAAAAGAGCAAGAGTGAGGGTGGGCAGCAGGGGTGAGGAGAGTGGGCAGCAACCTAACAGGTACATCAAGAATTCATAAAGAAATCCCCTCACTTCTGGTGCTCACTGTGACAGGTACCCAAGGAGAACTGTGAAACGCTGTCTTGTGAAGGCTACGGCACACATAAACTCAACCGAGGCTGCATAGACGTATACAAGATCAATCTAGTTAAAAATTCCAGCACGGAGGGAGGAGGGGCTTCCAGGGTCCACCACCAGCTGAGGAGCTGTTGGCACTCGGTGACTGCTAGGGTAGGGAGTCACTTTTCTTTGGGGGTGGCTACTGATATGTTGCCCATGTCCCAGTGAAGGACCCCATACCCAGGCATGCTTGAGCAACACTGACTTGACTCTGGGTTATTAGGAGAAATGAAGACATGATTTTGGAGGGAGGTGTGTTAGTGGGCCTAAGGGAGTTGTACAGAAGCATTGGGGGTGGATATAATCTAGATACATTTTAACATATATGAAATTTTCAAGTCATAACTAAATGTCTTTAAAGGGAGATGAAGATGATTTATTCTGGCTTAGTTTCAGAGATTTCAATGGAAGGAAAGGCAGAATATCACATCATCCAGGAAGCAGAGCAAGAGGGACAGGAATCGGCATATGACAGGACTCTTCTAGGGACAGAAAGGGGCAACAGGCTTCTGATGGAAGGACATCTTAGAGACGCACCTGCAGTCCTGTGTGTGCTAGGTAATCTCTGTACATGCAGCTATATCCCCAGCCCCCGATTACTTGGTAGTCTTTGTGAAGAATTTTCATGGGTAGTTCTTGTGTTTCAGAAGCTGGACACGTCTTTGATACATCAAGGTAGAGCCTGGCCTCTGTAAGTCCTGAATGGGGTTGAATTGCTCTGTCTGGGTTACCCACATTCAAATACATCCCTTGAATGGAATCCAGCTATCAGGCCAGCAAGATGGCTCAGTGGATAAAGGCACTTGCCACTAGGCCTGACAACCTTAGTTTGATCCTTGGGAAACCAACTTCTGTAAGTTGTCCTCTTAACTTCTCATCGTGACACACACACACACACACACACACACACACACACACACACATACTAAATTAATTGATTAATTATATAAATATATGTAATGTTTAAGAGAAGTCAGTGGCATCTGGGATCATCTCTGGGCATCCTTTCCCCAGTGGACACTGCTGCAGGAACTTGAGCTAGGAGGGGCCGTGGTCCCCCACTCTGCTTGAATTCTCTGACCTTTACTTTCTTGTTAAATGGGGATAATGCTGACTTCTCAGATTGGAGATCACCAAATGCCAAACCCTTGTAAGGTGCCTGCTGTCATCCTCCACCACTCTCTGGTGAGTGGCCCCTGCCACTCATTCGGACTCACTGCCGCTGCTTGCTGGAAGATCCAGGCTGTGCAAGGCAAGCACTTTTACCAGCTTAGTCATCTTGCCAGCTCTAGAACTGACTTCTACAGCCCAATTTCCCTCTTATTTCTACTGCCTTCTTCTGCTCCCTTAATCCCTTTGAAAGCAAAGGGGAAAATGCCTCCAAAGAGAGCGCCCTGTACTGCTCTTACAAAACAAAACACCTAAATAAGCAAGCAGCACCATTCTTCACCAACAGCTTGCTTTTGTGTTCCCAGCTGTTACTCATTAACTGCTAGGAGGCTCCTGAGTCACCACCCCGCCCTAAGCCTGGGGATGTGATGAGGATGGTGGTTGTGCCTTTATGGTCCCTTCCTTCATTCAGCCATATGGCTCCTTCAGTTCTTTGTAGAGACTAAAGACTGGGCACTGTGCAGCCCAGGACCCTGAGATAAGATCCAGATACACATCTGTAATTCCAGTCAGAGGCAGCCCCATATCTCAGGGAGACCCAGACTTGAGAGACTGGGACAGAGGGATCAAGGATCATCCTGTAGCCAAGCAGGGTGGGTAGATGCTCTGGTGTGGGGGTAGGGTGGGCAGGCTGCTGGATTGAGGTGTCCTCACCCTGGATGGCCTTGCCTCTGCATAGCAGAGCTTGCCAGTAAGTGGTCAGTGCCTCCTCCAAGCTCTGGCCTCTGAACCTGCACAGAACTCTGACCACTTGGATGGCTCATTACATTCCAGGAGGGCTGAGGTCTCCAAGCATCTTTGTGGCTGATGAGGAGAGAGAGTTAGAGGTCCTATGGGACCCCTGGGGCGCTGTTCAGGTGGTAGGGGAGAGCCCAGTCAACAAGGCCCAAAGCCTCTGATCTAGATCAGAACTCTCTTGTTTGTTTATGGCATTCCTTTGTGCCTGCAGTCATCCCACTGGGACCAGTCATCCACTCCCCTGGTCCTTGGAGATCCCTTGTGGCCTTATCTGCCCAGCAACAGGCCCTCATTAACTTGTAGTCTTTCTGGCCTCAGGCAGGGATGAGTGATGGGTGCAGGTGGCTTTGGGAATACCCTATTTGTCTGGCTGCTATCCAGCTGGGCTACTCTCTCACCTGTCCAGTAGAATTCAGAGACCAGGGATGCCTCAAGCCTTCTTCCTGCTTTCAGGGACATTTAGGGGGAACAACTTGCAGCTCACAGCAGGCCTTCCTCCCATCCATCCTCTACTCTGCCACCAAAGCTATGGGGTCACTGTGAGCTGGATCTACATAGCCTCCTTTGTCTAGCTACAAATGGTTTTCTGCTCGTTTGTTTTTATGTGCGCACACAAGTGTCTTCCCTCGTCACTTCTCCATGTTATTCTTTTATTTGAAGACAGAGACGCTCTTTCACTGAACCTGGAGCCCAGTGACTCTGCTAGACTGACTTGGCTAGCAAACCCCAGGAATCTACCCGCCCCTACCCCTGTCTGGGTTACAGTTGTGTGCCTTCACGCCTGGGTTTTTATGAGTACACTGGAGACCCAAACTTAGGTCTTCATGTTTGCCCAGCAAGCACTCCACAGGCAGCATTGTCTCTCCAGCCCCCATGCTTGAGAGTTGAGCATCATTGGCTGTGTCCTTGTAGTAATAGCTGGCGCAAGCTAGTCTATCTCAGCCCTGGCCTCTTCCCATCGCTATGTTACCTGCCCGGAGCCTGCATGCATTTGAGGTTTCCCCTCTAGCTGTCAAGGAAGGAAGAGGTAAGTATATGAGTGCATGCACAGATAGGCTCATGAATGTGTGGGTGGACGGGAAGATGGGCTACTGAGCGGTGGTCCGGAGGAGTGGGTAAGCATGAATGGGAGAATATCTGGCGTCAATCTCCGCTCTCAGGCCTGTTGGGACATTCGTGTTCTGAGCAGGGTAGAATCAGGACATGCACCTCTGCGTGAGCATCTCCGTGAAAGCACCCGGCGCCATGGCGGCAGCTGTGACCCTCGGAGCAGGAAGCTTCCCTGGTCTCCACACTTAGGCAGGAAGGAGTGCTGTGCCTGTGTGGGGGTGGAGGGTGATAAGAGAGAGAGAGAGAGAGACAAAGACAGCAGGAGCAGAGGGAAGTGGGAATGGGGCAGAGGCGTGCTGCTTAGCAACCACAGAAGAAAATTTAGAGAAGTGACAGGACCGTTTGCCTAGTGCCTCAAAGGGAGATTTTTTTAAAAAGGCCCACACACCTACACTTGCTGATCTCACTGCAGTGATTGGAGGGGAGTTACTAAGTATCATGGGGCTGTCCTGGTCATCATCATCAAGGGACCTGACCAGCCACTCTTTGGGCTCAGGAAATGTGTCCTCAGCAGCTTGGGAAGGGAACAGTCTCCAGGCCCCTCTAGGCAAGGACTGGAACCTTGCAAGCTAGATGCAAAGATAGCACTTGGTCTGAGCTATCTTTTTCTCTGATGTCAAAACTGGAAGCCTGGGAGGCACCTGGGAACTTCCCTCCCCACTCATGTCGTCTTTTCTCCCAGACCCCACTCAATGCCCCACCTCTGCTCCTTCCTCCCCAGTGAGATTCCTCTTTTGCTTTTCTTTCCTAATTTGATTTTCTCTGGCTCAGAATCAAGATCAAAGGAGGAAATTCTTTCCAGTCTTTTAGGAGTGATCCCCAGAGGCTCCCACTGCAGAGGCATACATAATTACCATAATTATTCTAAAAGCCATCTCTGTTGGTTCACTCGCCCACTTCTCCATCTCTCCTACAGGCTTGAGGGAGAGAGGACAGTGGGGGGAGGGGGCTCGGGAAGTGGGTCTGAGGCTGCAGCTGGACCAGCATACATTGTGTTCTCATAGTCAAACTGGAGCAGGCATGCTCCCTCCAGGTACACCAGAGAGCGGCGGGGGTGTGGGCAGCACCTACTCCTGGCACGTAAATGCATGGAACCTTCTAGAGGGGAAGTTGCTCCCTTTATAATTTGTTTCTGATCATCTTATTTCAGTATGTCTGAAGCCAGTGCTAGATATGACATTGACAGCTTCCTGCAAACTGCTAACTTTACTTTTAATGGCAGCAGCAATATTCCCCAGGCTTAGAGCAAGCAAAAAACAAAACAAAACACAAAAAAAGTAGATACACTTTAATAGAAGAGCTCACCCCCGACCCCTTCCTCAGCAGCTTCGCCACCAATTGGGAAACTGGGTGTTCTATCTATCTATCTATCTATCTATCTATCTATCTATCTATCTATTGGCTCAGTGGTTAAGAGCACTGGCTGCTCTCACAGAGGTCCTGAGTTCAATTCCCAGCAACCACATGGTGGCTCACGCTGAACTTTTTTTTTTTTAAATATATTTTCTTGGCATAGAACTCAGGTCCTCATGTGCGTGTGGCAAGCGTGTTACCTCCTGAGCTAATTCCCCAGTCCATTGCATGTATATTTTGTAATGTATTAAAGAGGCTTGTCATTGCAGCCTGCTTCTTAATAGACAAAGGAAAACAATGAACAGGAAGCGTGGAGAAAAGCCCAGATTGTTAATCCCTGATCAAGGCTTTCACTAGCATGCCCAGGAAAGGTTTCTGTTGGTCCGATTGGCCTACAGTTGACATGGGGAGTCTCGGGGTGTGAGGGGTGGGGGAAGTGTCCCTCAGATGACAGGTGGTTATTTTGCAGGGTGGTGAATGGAACCCAGGGCTTCCAGAATGCTCAACAACTCTTACCACTGAACAAACACCCCTGAGATTTGGGTGATGGTGTTTGGAACTTCAAAGGTTGCACCAATGTACACTTTGGGGGCGCAAGGCAGGAAGGCCAGTGGCTGCAAAGACTGTCTTAATGGTAGCCATAGCTGATGATTCCTCAGACATGGGCATCTAGTGGGAGGGACCCATCCCTGGCTATGGGACCGGTGGCCATCTGGGCCTTTCTCTCCATGTACACTCTGGTCCATCTGCAGTGATGTATGGGTCTGGGCAGTGAGAGAGGCACAGAGCCTTTTTGCTGGTAATTCCAGGGTTTGGAAATTTCCTGCTGGCTTTGAACCTAAAAGATTGAGACATTTGTCTCCCAAGGCATTTTTGTTAACACAGGAGGGAGTCAACAGTGAGGGGGATGAAAGGGGGCAAGAGGAGGAGGAGAGGGAGAGAGAAACCCAATTCTGATGGTATCGCCTCCTTCCCTGGATCCAGCTGTGCCTGAAGCTAAACTCTCTACTCACTCCCTTCAGAACTACTTCAGAGCCAGTGAATTCTCCTTTCATGCAATCCCGTTAGGTTTGGTATTCCAGAACCACAAGGGGCTTAACTGATGAAATGACTCAGTGAAAATCCTTGGCCCTGGTGACAGAGAGAACCCAGAGGCCTAGGCATAGTGGTGCTCATGATCCTGTCTCAGAGGTGGAGGGAGGAGGACCAAAGAGTTCGAGGACACCCTCAACTATGTATCCAGCTGTGAGGCCTAGTTTGGGCCAGAGACCTTGTCTCAAAAGTCCAAAGCAAAACAGAACCCAGAAATAGCTCTAGGGGCCTGCTCTACTGACACAGGAAAGTGGCAATGCCTACACATGGAAATGCTACCACAATCACAAGAAGTACCGTATGACAGTGCTCATCCACCAGGTGCAGGCTGCACTTACTTAATCTGCAACAACCCCATCATAGAAGTCTGTCTTCATCAGTGTCTTAGAGGTGAGGAAATTGAATCCCAAGGATCCTCTGCGAACCCTTGTTGTCCAGGACACTTCTGGGGCACTAATACTAACTAATCCCAACCATCAGTCATTGCATTTGTCTTTCTTTCTCTCCTTCTTTCCTCTTTCCTTCTCTCTCTCTCTCTCTCTCTCTCTCTCTCTCTCTCTTTCTTCCCTCCTTCCTTTCTTTTCTTTTGTTTTTTTGTTATTGTTGTTTTGAGACAGGACTCACAATATAGTTTGGGCTGGCTTCAAACTTGTGGTCCTTATGCTTCATCCTCCCCAGTGGTGGAATCTTAGAGATATGGGCCATTATCCAGGCAAGCGTTTGTGGTGAACAGGTAGACTGCTCACTGGCAAATGCAAAACTCTGATGAGGTATGTTTGGGGATGCTCACATAATGTGTGACAGGAAGGTCACCTTCAGCAACTGTGCAATACTCAGCCTACAGGACTATCAACATCCCTGGAAGATCCAGGCTCTGTCCAATGTTCCAAATGTAGGGCTGCACAGGAGACCCCAGGGTGAGGCAGGACACCCTGTTCATTAGCGGTATGACGTTAGATTTGTCCTTTCGTCTGCCCTCCAGTAAAGTGGAGACCCCAGCTTCCTTCGTCCCCCAGTTACGACAGGATTAAAAGGGAAGCTGATTTAGAAAGTAAAAAGAAGGGAATGTGGGAAGAGGCAGGAATCACTTTGCTCCCAGAGGTGATCAGGCATGTGTGGACAGATATAAACCACCCCCTCTACTTCCTCCCCACTCAGGGTTGGGAAGAGATAGACTGAATGGTGACCTGAAAGGAACCTTTCTGTCCCCAAAGGGAGAGAGATAAGGATTGCGAAGCAGAGAAGCTAGGCTGCTACAGGCGCTTGAGAGTTTATTTTTACCCTGTTATCTCGATCCTGAAATGTCAGGCTTGGAGCCGCCTCATGTTCCCCCAGTGTGGCAACACAGCCTGGAGACGGGCCTCTTCTCCTCTGCTTCCTTTGCCTTTCTGTGAGATTCCCAGCGCTGTGGTGATGGGAGGCATGGAAACGTTGCAAGAGAGAAGGAGGAGGCAGACCTTTTATTTGAGTTTCAAAACAGGCTCGCTTCCTCATAGGAACAGGGAGTGCAGAGCGGAGGCAATGTACGACAAGGTTTGTGAGTTGTATGTTACAAGGTGCACAAGCCCAACGGAAACCAGCTTATAATAAAGAACGCTGAAGTGGCTGAGCCCACTAAAACACCTTGCAATGGACCAGGCTTCAGGTGAGGCTGCATGCTGGCACTCGATGATGTTTCAGGACTCGGTGTTCTCTACCACTTAGCTTGGCCTTCTGTGTGCTTGGCTTATGCTCACAAGCCACTCTGTGCTCCCCCAAGACCCTACACAATTCTAGAACCTTCCCCCATGGTCACAAATAGCTGCAATGGTTCTAAGCATTGCATCTTTGTTCCCAAGGAAAAGAGAGGAGGCAGGGCCTCTTGGGTTGCCTTGGCCTCCGAGTGGGTTCTGTGCCCATCCCTCAGTCAGTTACTCTGGTGTCAAGGCAGCAAGTGAGAGATGCTTCTAAGTCACGCTGGCTCATTCCTGACGGTGGGGATGGATGCCAGGCTGCAGGCACGAGCCTGTCTTGTGGTTGATTCATGTTTTTAGTTCCATCAGTTCCTCCCAGAAAGCTTCAGAGGTTAGGAGTGATTATCCTTATTCAGAAATGTACTAGTGTTCCTTTCTTATCTTTTTGGACATAAGTTCACCTGGGAATCTCTGCTCCAAGCCTCCCAGGCCTGTGGCTGGAGAGGAGGTGGACTCAGTAAGTGCCTGCATTGTAAGCATGAGGACCCGAGTTTGGATTCCCAGAGTCATGTTTAAGAAGTCAGGCATGTTACTGCACATCCATAATCCCAAAGCTGGCAGAGAGCGGGCATGAAGGGGCAGAGAGGATTCTGGGGCTTACTGGCCAGGCAGTTGATGAACACTGTGTTCAGTGAGAGATCTCTAATTAAACACTTAAGATAGAGATAGATCAAGAAAGATACCCAGTGTTGACCTCTAACTTCTAAACACACACACACACACACACACACACACACACACACACACACACACACACACACACTTGTGCATGAGCACACAGAGATACCATATACATGTAAAAAAAGAGATTCCCAAATCTGTCTTCTCAAAATCTCATCCAGTCTACCAAATCTCCCCTGGGGAGACAGGTTAAAATGTCACATTCTTATTGGAGATGAAACCACACCCCTGGCCTGCCAGGCACATGACCCCTCACACAGGTTTAGTCACATAAGTGTCTTCGTATTCTTGCCCCCTGCCCTTCACACCTCGGGTCTCTCCATCTGCGCTTCTCCCCACCCAGAGGGTTCTTACCTCAAATCTCTGCGTGGCTGGCTTCACTTCAGAGTGAAGACTCTGTCAAAAGCCTTGTTCTTGGGCAAGGCTGGCATGTATGGTGCCATCATGTGCTATGATGGGCTGAGGATCTGTTTTGGATCATCGACTTCAGGAAGCAAGATTACACTTGACCTAGGCAACACTTAGCTTCTGAATGCTGGTTTTATGCCTGGCACGCTGTAAGTAGCCAATGTTTATCTTATCTGCAAGGCCTTATAAGAGTGTTCAGGGTAGGGTAAGTCCACCTGTTTCCTACAGTTTTAAATCCATGATTACTAAGATGATGGGTACAGAGACTAGAAAGATGGCTCGGTTGTTGAGTGCTTGTGGCTTGCTCTTCCAGAAGACTAGAGTTCAGTTCCCAGCCCCTACTGAGCAACTCACAACTCACATCCATCTACAGCTCCAGTTCCAGGGGATGTGACACCCTCTTCTGGCTTCTGAGTGTGTACCCACACAATCTTGCTCATGCACAGGTATACACATAAAATTTAAAGTTAATCCTTTCAGACTTAAAAAAAATCCAAAAGTGACCGTCACACTGAGTCAGAATGAGAAAATGTCCGGAAAGACAACAGGAAGAGTAGTTCAGCCTTCACATTGCAGACCCATAAGTGAAGGTCAAAGTCTCAGTGTGCTAGACACCCAGGTAGAGGCTCTGTTTTCTCTGTGGCCACACACTCATCCAGAGATGTACTAGCCTGTGGCTGTCCTCAGAGTAACTGGGTAAGAGTAAACACACCAGGCACAGCAGTCACCATTGGACTCTGTCCTCAGTAGGTGACTCATCACCTGGGGCAGCTCTAGGGGACACAGTCGCTCATTCTTTAGTCACCTAACCAATCCTCATCCCTCACCCAGGTTCCCCCGTATAAATTCCCCATCATTTGTAATATCTTTATTTTTATGTGATTATTTGATTAATATCCACCTTCCCCACTGGACTCCAGGCGTCTGAAGTGCAAGGACTGATCTTTCAGCCTCATGCTATACTGAATCACCCAGTGTCTTAGTCCGTGTTCTATTTCTGTGAAGTGATACCAAGACCATCACAACTTGTATAAAGGAAAGCTTTTAGCTGGGGCTTGCTTACACTTTCAGAAGTTTTAGTCCATTGTTATCATGGATGACAGCTTGGCAGCACACAGGCAGACATGGCACTTGAAAAGTCCCTGAAAGTTTTACATCTGGATTGGAAGGCAGAAGGAAGAGAGTGACACTGGGCTTGGCTTGGGCTTTTGAAACCTCAACATCCACTCCCAGTGACCTCCTTCCCCAAACAAGGCACACTTCTTAATCCTTCTCAAGGAGGGCTGCTCCCTGATAACCAAGCATTCAAATATATGAGCCTATGGGGGCCATTCCTGTTAAAACCACCACACCCACCCTTGTACCTAGCAGACTACGCCTCATAAGTACTTTGTGTATGTGTGGGTGGGTGTGTGGCTATGTGGGTGTTAGTGGAGGCTAGCTACAGGCTATCCTGGCCTCCAGTGATGCTCCTGTTCCCACCTCCCCAGCACTGAGACTGCAGCACATGCCACCACACCCAGCCTTTACACGGGTGCAGGGACCTGAATTCAGGTCCTCATACTTGTGTGGAGAGCACTTTGCCAATCAGCCATCTCTCCTGCCCCCATCATGAACACTTTTTGAATGAAAGAATGATGTGAATGGAGTCCAGAGGCAGCCAGCCTAACTCATCTGCCAGAGATAAAAGAGGCTGAAATTTTTCACTTTAAAATCAGAGCCTGACACATTGTCACCTCGAGGTCCTAGAGTAGCCTTTGGCACAGAGGAGAGAGCTATTAGATAAGGGGAATAAACAAATGAGCTAGCACTGTTCCTTCCCAGAGAGAAGGTGGGTAAGTTCATGGAAAAGGAGAATGACAGGAAGCTACAATGTGTGAATGAACCCAATCAAGTTCAAAGGTTCCATTCAGACTGAGCAGGCCTGGTTCTAGGGTCACTAAACCAAATGCCAGGAAATGGGGGAAGCTTCTAGCACAAGCTGAACTAGTTTTCAAGGGACAATGCGTCTTTGGACTTTGGTGCAGCAAGTTCTGGGTCAGATACCTAATGTTAAAGTGGGCCATGGCTCCTATGTCTATCACATAAGCTAAAAAACAAAAAAAAACAACACAAACAAAAACATGCAGGATAGGGTTGTGTCTACGAGATAACTTGGTCGCAGTCTTTGCTGCTAATTTGGGAGGATACTGAGATTTGGATTTTTTCTTCTCTGTTGTCACATTCTCCTTCCTAGGTGTACTGAGGGCAGTTTCCTTCCATCTTAAATCTCACCGAGATCCTTGGGTTTTGTCAACCCTTGTGGGTGATGAGATCACATCCATTCTTTAAGCACAAGTTGGAAACTGCATAGCCCCAATCCTGAAACATAGTGAGCACTAACAGTAAATCCCGGTGTGCAAACATGCCAGAGTCTCAAACCTCTCCAGCCAAAAGAGGTTCTGACCCCTGACCTGCAGAATCCCTTCCCAAATCAGAGGAAAGGGGGAGGGGTTTATTGAGTCCTAGGCTCTGGCTGGTTCCCAGGATGAGCTCATCAGTTATTCTTAGAGACCGGACTCAAATAAAACAAACTGTGCCTATAAATAGAGTGGGGATCCACTTGGTGTCACCAAAGGTCCTTTTTCATGGACAGACTCACTAAAACAACATTCTCAGGCTACCTGATTGATACTAAGTGGGGGAAGGATTGCATGTTTTCTTTTCAAGTGTGGTCCCGAAGGGGGAACAGCAGGCGAGCCAAACACTGGGTTTTAACCTGGTTCTGTTGTCTGGACTGGCATTCTCCCTACCCCCACCCCTGCCCCCATTCATACTGGCAGGGAAGAGGCACCTGAGAAGAGAGTTGTCACTCCTCCATCAACACCCCAGCAGGGCAGTTTGGGCAATTCCCTCTGGGAGTAGATCATGGTTCAGATTGTTTGACAGAGTGTTCTGGCCTTTTAGATGAGACTGCAAGCTTCCAATAGGAGCATTTCCTCCTTCCTTCCTCCATGCTGCCAAGCCCCAGAGAAGGCTTGGATTCCCATGGCAGACCGACCGTGGGTTATGAAGTGAAAGGACCTTCTCAAGCCTGGTATTTATGAACAGGGACAATACAGACCCCATCTTGTAGCTCTCATCTGACTTTGGATCTGACCACACTGAGGCCTGCTTGGTTGAGAAGCAGTCATGACCCATGTAGGGGCTGGAGTCACTTGGATTGACTGGGTATTCATCAGGCCATGGGGTGACAACACCAAGTGTTGAAATAACAAGAGCTATCTCTGACCCAGCCCAAGGACAAGCAATGTCAGACATTATTAAGAGCTGTATAAAAATCAATTTTGATTTTTCCCCCTAACCCCTATAAGCTAGGGACTAAAATTCTAAAATTACTAAATTCTAAAGTTGCTAAAATTCTTTCCATGGAGAGACACAAACAATATCTACCCTCCTTCAAAGGTTTCAGTGACAAACCGAGGCACAGTTCCACCAGAGTTCACTCTGAGGAACCAATGAGTTTATTAGGTGTCTACAGCGAGTTCCAGAACAGCTAGGGTTGTTACACAGAGAAACCCTATCTTGAAAAAACGAACAAACAAAAAATGTTTCCCTTGATTAGAGTTTCTGTGGTCATGATATCTCTTCAAAGCATAGAATCCCTACGACAGTGAGAGACCTTGTTGAAAGGGAATATGGTGTAGAATGGCAAAGCAGGACTGCAGCTAACTTCTTCTGGCCAGAAGAGCCCGGATCCTGTTCGAGGGAAGCCATCTTGAATATCCTTCCTTTTCCTCACTGTATAACCAACAGCTCTGGCCTGATATTGACAAAAGCAGGCTTTATGAAGTAGCGACTGTTATCCAAGAATGACTTCAGTTAAGAGTTGATTCAAAGAGTGGTGTGGTAGTTCAAGCCTGTAGTATCAGGACTCAGGAGGTTGAAGCAGGAGGATTGCAAGTTCAATGCCAGTCTAGGCTGCCTGGGAAACAAACAAAGAATACGGTTCAAAGACAAATCTCTAACCACTATGTCTGAAGACTTGCCTATTTCTAGCTACCCGCTGTTCACATTATCAGCACAAGCACTGACGACTCGCCAAGGGCCAAATGCTTTAAGGTATTTTCTGATTCAGTTCCAAGGTACCTTCTGGTGGGCCCTCCTATGATTGTCCTTACATAGGAGGACACTAAGGCCTGGGGGTATACCTTATATGAGGCTGTGGAGTCTGAAGCAGAACCCATTTTACTGGGTCTTAGAAGTCAAGACATAGACTTCTGAAGATGTGAGATTATTCCAAGGCAGGTTCAAGGAAAGCCTGTGCGGTTTTCCATGTCTTTCCCCAATGAAGATGTCTGAAAACTCTGTTTAGGTATTGATGAAAACTTTGTGTTAGTGAGAAATGAAGGCTTGTGAATCTGATGGCCTGGGTCAGCTAGGGTCTGAAATTCTGTTCCTCTCTCTCTCTCTCTCTCTCTCTCTCTCTCTCTCTCTCTCTCTCTCTCAGTTTTTTGAGGCAGCATTTCTCTGTGTAGCTCCCCACGATCCTGGAACTCACTATGTAGACCAGGCTGGCCTTGAACTCTCAGAGATCTGTCTGCTTCCGTCTCCCAAGTACTGGGATCAAAGGCGTGCGCCACCACCACCTGGCCCAAATATCAGTTTCTTAATGTGTACAAAGATGATAGTGATCCAGGCATGGTGGCACATGCCTATAGATCTAGCTGAGGCAGTAAGATCCTGGGTTCAAGGACAACCTGGGCTACAAAGTGAAAGCCTTTCTTAAATATTAGCACCCCAAAGACAGGAGTAGTAGTACATACTTGTAATCCCAGCACTGTGGAGGCAGAGACTGGCAGATCCCTGGAGCCCACTGATCAGCCAGACTCTTCTACTTGATAAGTTCCAGCCCACTAAGAGATCCTGTCTCAAAAACATTTTTAGGTGGGGTTTAACATGGCAGTGGCTGCTGGCACCAGTGGGACCATGAAGCAGCCATGAGGAGCCTGAGACAACCATGGAGGCTCCAAAGGGGAGACACAGTGGCTGAGCCCACAGTATCTCCAGAACTAAACAAACAAACAAACAAACAAACAAACAAAAGACAAATCTTATGGGAAGATGCATAACAGAGCCTCAGCTGAGAGCGGTGAAACTAGAGAGGTGGCGAAGGGTTAGCAAGGCTGCAGCAGACCAAGGAATATGCCGTGGGTGAGTAGGGCTGGTCCTCGGTGTTGTTTCTCGAGAACGGAGTGACACCATACACCAAACTCTTGCTCTATAGTTTTATTGGAGAAAACGGGAGGGGGGGTTGTAAGGGAGAGGCGTAAGGGCCTGCCTGCCTCTGCAGCGGAGTGGAGGGAAAGGGAAGGGGGACCAGGCAGAGCTTGCTTTTAAACGAGTGTACTCTGTAATACACTGCAGTTTGCAATGCCACTTTGATGAATAAATGTGATGGAGAAGTGGGAAAGATGGCAGAAAGGAACTCTACATGTACGCAGCAGAAAGAGGCAGGAGAAGAGACGTTGAAGGCTTCTGTGACACTGCTCCCAAAGAAACAGTCTAGACAGGAAGCCATTGAAGAGTGTCCTTGAAAACTGCTATGGGATGCTGCAGTGTAACTCTTCACAGTCGGTGGCTTCTGATGAGGGGAGAGGTGGGGAAGGACTCAGTTTTCTTTAAGGCGCTGACCACTAGGAGTTTGACCACTCTCCACTGAGCATATGCACAACACAAATTGGACTTGTTTTTTTTTCTTTTGGGGGAGGGCACAAGGGTGGGAGGGTGGACTTGGGAGGAAGCAAGCGTGCTCAGGTGCATTGTGTAAAGTTCCCAAATAATCAATAAAAATATTATATTGAAAGCAAAAGTGCATAACACATAAGGTTATCATCCTCTGGCTTACACACACACACACACACACACACACACACACACACACACACACCTCCCAACAACTAGTCCCTTTGATGAGTTCCTTCCCAGTTCTCACTATCACTAGATACAAAGTAAGAATGGGAAATAAACTTTGTGTTTGAAGCCTTGAGATTTTGGGGCTATTTGTTATCACAGTAGAGCATGGCCTATCCTTCCCACAACTCTGGTCACGTAAATGGAGGCCAGGCTGTTCCCAGGGACCCCAGGTAAGACATCTCCCACCACTGGTTAATGCTCCCTAAAGCCTACCCAACAGCACCAGACTGCACCCCCTCCCTGAGCTCCATATTCCTGACCACAACTTCAGAAGAAGACTTCTGCTTTATCTGAGGCTAGGCTGATTCCAGGGACAAAAGGTAAGACACTGCTGACAGCCAACTAGCACTCCCCAAAGTTGGCCCAACAACCCCCAGCTCACACCCTTTCCTGAACTCCGTATCCTAGCCCACAATCTCATCAAAAAAAAAAAAACATCTGCTGTACTAGAGCCACACTGTACAAGGGATCCCAGAGACCAAGCAAGTATCCAGAACCCCAGAGGCTACACGTTAGTCACCAATTATAACATGATAAATAAAAGACCCAAAGACTGATATTGGGGTTCAAGTTTCAAGCTGAAGATGAGAAAAGCAAAGCAGTTGACCACTAGCTTTTACACTACCTCAGACTGAAAGGCAACCTTGGCTCCTCCAAACCTCAGACTGCTGCCTCTGATCAGTGTGGCAAGAGCATTCTGAGACTTCAGTGTCTTCCTATCCTCATTGTGACTGGAGAGAGAATCTCAGGTGTTGAAGATAAGATAGAAGAAATAGATTCAAAGCTCAAAGAAAATATTAAATCTAAAGAAATCCTAATATAAGACATCCAGGAAATATGGGACATTATGAAAGTACTAAACCTAAGATAATAGGACTAGAAGAAGGAGAAGAATCCCAGCTCAAAGTCCAGAAAATATATTCAACAAAATCATAGAAGAAAAAATTCCTAACCTAAAGAAGGACATGTCTATAGAGGTATAAGAAGCTTATAGAACATCAAATAGACCTGACCGAGAAAAAAAATATTTCATGACTGCATAATAATCACAGCACTAAACATGCAGAACAAAGAAAGAATAACAGTGTAGAGACCACCTCGAATGCCTATTCCTGATAGTGAACTTGATGTCTATAACCATCCTGGAGCCTTCATCCAGTGACTGATGGAAGCAGAGGCAAACACCCACAGTTAAATACTGAACAGAACCCAAGGAACCCAGCGACACAGAGAGAGGAGCGAAGAGCAAATTGGCAAAGAATAACATCTATGCCCCAAATGCAAGAGTATATTGGTAAAAGAAACATTACTAAAGCTTAAATCATACATTGAACCTCACACATTAATTGTGAGAGACTTCAATACTCCACTGTCACCAATGGACTGGTAATCTAGAGAAATAATGGAGCTAACAGACATTATGACTCAAATGTACCTAACAGATATCTACAGAACATTTCAGCCAAACACAAAAGAATATACCTTCTTTTCAGTACCTCATGGAACATTCTCCAAAACCAACCATATACTCAGCCACAAAGCAAGTCTTAACAGATACAAGAAAATTGAAACAACCTCACGTCCCTTATCAGACCACCATGGATTAAAGCTTGATTTCAACAACAACAGAAACAACAGAAAGCCTACAAACTCATGGAAACTGAACAGCTCTTTACTAAACACCACCGGCTCAAGGAAGAAATTAAAAACTTCATAAAATTCAATGAAAATGAATGCACAACATACCCAAACTTATGGGACACAATGAAAGCTATGCTAAGAAGAATGTACATAGCACTCAGCAGGTACACAAAGAAACTAGAGAGATCTCATACTAGTGAACTAACAGCACACATGGAAGCTCTAGAACAAAAAGGAGCAAACTCACTTAGGAGGAATAAATGACAGGAAATAATCAAACTGAGGGTTGAAATTCATAAAATAGACACAAAGCAAACAATATAAAAATCATTGAAACAGAGAGTTGGTTTGATGTGGAATGCCCTTCTGTACACTGCAAATATGTGTTGCTTTTATTGGTTGATGAATAAATCTGTTTTGACCTATGGTAGGGCAGACTATTGCTAGGCGGGAAATCCAAACAGAGATAAAGGGAGAACAAAAGTGGGGTTGAGAAGAAATGACAGCAGCTGCCAGAGTAACACCATGAAGCCATGTGCTGATACACAGATTATTTTAAAATGGGTTAATTTATATGTAAGAGCTAGTCAGTGTTAAGCCTGAGCCATTGGCCAGAGGCTTATTAATATTAAGCCTCTGAGTGATTGTTTTATAAGTGACTGTGGGACTGGCAGGCAGGACAGAAAAGCACCTGCTACATTGGTTCTTTGAGAAAATCAGTAAGATAGACAAACCCTTACCCAAACTAACTAAAAGGCAGAGAAATAAAAATTATCAAAATCAGAAAGGAAAGGGGGATAACAGCAGGCACAGAGGAAATCCAAGGAATCATTACGTCACACTTAAAAAACCTGTGCTCCAAAAATTGGAAAAATCTACAAGAAATGCAAAGTTTTCTTGATAGATGTCACCACAGTTAAATCAAGATCAGATAAACAACTTAAATAGCTAAACCCCTAGTGAAATAGAAGCAGTCATTAAAAGTCTCCCAACCAAAAAAATGCCAGACTTGGTGGTTTTAGCACAGAATTCTACAGGACTTTCAAATAAGACCTAATACCAACACTACTCACATTATTCCAAAAAATAGAAACAGAAGGAAGATTGCCAAATTCATTTTATGAGGCCACAATTACCCCAATACCCAAACCGCACAAGGACTTAACAAAGAAGGAGAATTATAGACCAGTTTCCCTCATGGATATTGATGCAGTATATACAATAAAATACTGGCAAACTGAATCCAAGAACACATCAAAATGATCATCCACCATCACCAAGTAGGCTTCATCCAGAAATGCATGAAAGGTTCAGCATATGGAAATCTGTCAATGCAATTTACTATATAAACAAACTGAAAGAAAAAAC